GCGCAAATAAGGCTCTATTGTGTTTTACCTTAATAACACAAACAACTATATTGTGCCCTTTGACCAAAGGACACACTCATAAAGGGCACACATAGAATTATTGTTGTTGCACTGTTGCTATTTGTCTATGAGCACATATGTTGGTGCTCTTTGGCCTCAAGGGATACAAATAATTTATTGTGCGTGCCCATATTTTTTTGTAGTGTCAAGTGCTATGCATATATATGCAGCCGGAGAACTTGTCTAACGACCGATTTTAGCAATCTTGGTCCAAGATTTCAGAAATTTGTCATCGTAGTCAATTTCATACAATGCAAAGTGAGTTACGGGGAAGGTCAAGCTAGTAATGCTTTGTCGAGAATATTAACAATTTCTCCAGCCTTTTTCCTTTCTTCTTCCGTCAACTTCCCGTAGAGGAGACTCAAATATGGCATAGAACCTACATCAAATATTGCAGACACATAGATTACGTACGTACATTCCCGTCAACACGAGAAGAAATTAAGTTACTGTAAACAACAACTTACTATTGTAGAAACCGAAATGGTAGCTCCAACGTTGGGCATTTTCAAATAACTAAGAAAAGAAGGTTTAATGATAAGTGTCAAGCTCAAGAAACCAAAACGAGAAAGATGAAAGGGAAACAAAACATCAAGAAAATGAATATGTATTAACAAGGGATCGAGAAAATATATACCTTTCGATCCATCAATAGTGAAACACACTGGTGATAATAATTCTTAGTGACTACCCGATCAACTTTATCAACGATGTCATCCATAGGGGCAAATCTAAACTTGTTAAGAGCATCCTCATGACTCATCATCTAGATGGATCCCAAGATGAGGATGTGAGGTTCGATCTCCGGCCCACCAAACTCTGCCTGGAGACCCTCCATCACCTTCTTGATTCTATGGCAAACATCAGCCGGTGGAATGGCCCAAACCGAATACGAGTACAACCTCCTGCAGCTTTCCCTCTCCCCGTCTACCACCACCATCGCATCTTCATCTTTATCTGAGAAAGTATTCTCTATGCTCTCAAGCTTGTCACTGCGCCCATGACCGAAACTATGCTATTCACATAAACAACATAATCGTTATCTTCTGTTTCAATGGGAATATGCTTAAGCTTTTTGGTACAAAGATTAAAGAAAACCACGTGTCCATCACTGTCAACCATAAGACACTTATCGCCCAACAACGCCACAGGTTTAGACCTACGTATCTGATCATATGTGCCCTCAATAGTCAAGTGTTTTGTCCAAGCACCCTTAAAGTCATCATCCATCACCCACATTTCATAAGGTTCAGGATATCGACAACTGTTCACACTAAGGGCAAAAAAAGCAACTGATTCGTTCCAAACAGTAAGCTTCAAATAAAGGTGATCCGACTGGACAAATTGTTCGAGCTCAGATGGTAAGGGTATACCGTGAAATACCTCACAACTTGTATCGAACGAAATGATCAATGTCCCATTCGCATGGAATCGATGCTCAACTGCGTCAAACGGAAATAATTGTTAAAAGTTAATGCTTTACTTAAACTGATTCTGCTTTACTGAAACTGATTTTGTGTAAAAGGGCTGACTGTTGCCTTTATCAGTCGACCCATTCTCTTTATCAGTCGACCCATTTACTTCAGTCGGCTTATGTATTGAGCCATATATATATCAGAAATATCTGAATGAAAATATCAGATCTCTGTTTTTAGAAAAAGCATCAGCTCTCTGTTTTCAAAAGCTCTCTGCACTCTGTTTCTTTGATTTTCAATCTTTATCATTTTATTCAAGTTTTATTAATGATGAAAGATTGTCTAAATACCAACATGGTATCAGAGCCAATATGATCAAAGAGTGGGGCGTTTTTTTTTATTCTCAAAAAGGGGGAAAATTCTAAGTGAAACCCTAGAATCAAATTTTTCAAATTCATGGCTGGTTCAAGTAGCAGTGGTGAGATTCGAACTCCTATCTTCAGTGGAGTAAACTACGACTTCTGGAGGACAAAGTTGAGAACAATTTTTGTATCTCATGATTTGTGGAGCTTGATTGAAGATGGCTATGTTGTACCTCCAAGCACTGTGGTTTTGACAGAGACTCAAACAAGGGAGTTGAAGGTAAACATCAAGAGAGATGCAAAAGCTCTTGGGGTCATCCAAAATGCTATCTCAGATGAAAATTTTCCGAGAATCTCAAATGAGACAAGTGCCAAATCAGCTTGGGATGTGCTGGAGAAAGTCTATAGAGGTTCTACTAAGGTAAGGGCTGTCAAACTCCAATCTTTGAGAAGAGATTTTGAGTATATAAGAATGAAAGATGATGAATTGCTAGATGATTACCTGAGTACATTGTCTGAGATTATTAATCAAATGAAAAGCTATGGTGAAATCTTGTCTGATGAGAGAATAGTTCAGAAGTATTTAATTAGCTTGCCAAGAAAGTATGACAACATAGTTTCAATCATAGAGGAGACTAAGGATTTGTCAACTTTGAGTGTTGAAGAATTGATTGGTTCTCTCAAAGGTTTTGCTCAGAGATTATCTAGGCATGACAACAATGATGTAGAAAATGCTTTCCAAACACTTACAGTGAATCCAAAAACTCAAGCTAGTTCAAGTCAAAGCAAAGCCAACTCCAACAAGAATTGGAAAGGCAAAAACAAAGCGTGGGAAGGAAAGGGTAATTTTGAAGAGAAGAAAAAGGTTGAGAAGAGTTTGTATGTTTCGAAGTGCAAAATTTGTGACAAAGCTCATTCCGGTGAATGTTGGTTCAAAGGAAAAGTGAAATGCCACAAGTGTAGCAAATTCGGGCATATGCAAAAGGATTGTACCTACAAAGATAATCAGCTAGCTCACTACACCAAAGCAGAAGATGAAGAGACCAATATGTTTTATGTTGGTCATGATACAACCGTCCAAGAAGAAGCTAAAGTTGTGGTTTGTAGAGATGTTCTTTTTAGTGAGAAATCTTCGTGGGATTGGAATCAAGCAACCATCCGAGAGGAATCTGCACAAATCAGAATTGAAGAAGAAAATCAACCAAATGAAGAGGAAATTGAGCCAGAAATTCCACAATTATCACCTGAAAACAGTCATCAAGCTCACTCTCCTACATTTTCAAGTCCAAGTTCAACGCCGGTTCGGTTAAGGAGCTTAAATGAAGTCTATGAAAGCTGCAATTTTTGTGTTGAAGAACCAGAAAACTTTGATGATGCAATGAAAGAAGAGACTTAGAAGGCTGCAATGCAAGAGGAGATCAATGTCATTGTGAAAAACAAGACATGGGAACTAGTGGACAGACCTTGTGACAACTCCGTCATAGGAGTGAAGTGGATTTATAAGACTAAGCTCAATCAAGATGGTTCCGTTCAAAGGAACAAAGCTAGATTGGTAGCAAAGGGTTATTCTCAGAAACCCGGAATTGATTTCCAAGAAACATTTGCACCGGTAGCTAGGCATGAAACAATCAGATGCCTTATTTCCGTAGCTGATCAGAAGGGGTGGTTTCTACACCAACTTGATGTCAAGTCGGCTTTCCTAAATGGAGTCCTAAAAGAAGAGGTGTTCGTTGACCAACCTCAAGGATTTGTTCTTAAAGGACAAGAGCACAAGGTGTATAAGCTTAAGAAGGCACTTTATGGCCTGAAACAAGCTCCAAGAGCATGGTATGGAGAGATCGACTCCTATTTCAATGAAAGAGGTTTTCAAAGAAGTGAGAATGAACCTGCCCTCTATGTCAAAACAGAAGGTATTTCAGATATCCTTATTGTTTCCTTATATGTTGATGATTTGGTTTATACTGGAAGTAGTCATAATATGATCTTGAATTTCAAGAATGACATGATGAGGAAATATGAGATGAGTGATCTAGGCATGTTGCATTATTTTTTGGGAATTAGTATCATTCAATCAAATGATGGTATCTTTATTACTCAAAAGAAATATGCAAAAACACTTCTAGAAAAGTTCAAAATGGTTGGTTGCAAGCCTGTTGCAACACCTCTAGTTGTGAATGAAAAGTTTCAAAGAGAAGATGGTAGTGGTGATGCTGATGAATCTGTGTATAGAAGCCTGGTTGGGAGTTTGTTGTATTTGACAGCGACTAGACCCGATATTATGTATGCTGCAAGCTTGTTGTCCAGATTTATGCACAAGCCTACTTGCATTCACTATGGAGTTGCAAAGAGGATCCTAAGATACATACAAGGTACACTTGACTTTGGTATTATGTATGAAATGAATGTTAAGCCCAAATTGTATGGGTTCTGTGATAGTGACTGGGGAGGTAGTGTGGATGACTTGAAGAGCACATCTGGCTATACTTTTACATTAGGGACTGGTGTATTCTCTTGGGCATCTAAGAAACAGAAATCAGTTGCACTATCAACGGCAGAGGCTGAGTATGTGTCGGCTTCAATTGCAACTTCTCAAGCAATGTGGCTGAGAAGAATTATGCAAGATTTTGGTGAGAAACAAGAATCAGCAACTCATATCCTTTGTGACAATAAGTCAGCTATTGCCATGAGTAAGAAACCTGTCTGTCATGGTAAATCAAAACATATTGCTCTGAAGCATCACTACATCAGAGGTGCTGTGGAAGATAAGGAAGTGGATGTGGTCTACTGCAAGACAGAAGATCAAGTTGCTGATATCTTCACCAAGGCATTACCAAAAGACAGATTCATCTACTTAAGAGAACTTTTGGGAGTGAAGTAGCAAAGCATTAAGAGGGAATGTTAAAAGTTAATGCTTTACTTAAACTGATTTTGCTTTACTGAAACTGATTCTGTGTAAAAGGGCTGACTGTTGCCTTTATCAGTCGACCCATTCTCTTTATCAGTCGACCCATTTACTTCAGTCGGCTTATGTATTGAGCCATATATATATCAGAAATATCTGAATGAAAATATCAGATCTCTGTTTTTAGAAAAAGCATCAGCCCTCTGTTTTCAAAAGCTCTCTGCACTCTGTTTCTTTGATTTTCAATCTTTATCATTTTATTCAAGTTTTATTAATGATGAAAGATTGTCTAAATACCAACAATAATTCCTTATCTTGCTCAATTCCCAGCCAATAACACATTCCCTTGAAGAACATCTGGAAATACTCAGGCCAAAACAAAGTAGTTTCGGTTTCTAAAGAATCGGTGTTGATCTCTTCCCAAAAATCACAACCCATGGTGTATACTACTGCTTTGTGCCGACTAAGAAATCTCCGGCAGTCTTCATCTACCCCTTGAAAATAAGTAGTAAAGGTCACAACTTTGTACTCGTTAGACATGGGATCATAGCCAAATCCAATATGAAAACCAGTTTCGAGATGGTCTTGCCCATCGTAATCATCCGGCTGGTCCAAGGGCCACATTGGAAGGCATGGCTCATCGGGAACACGATTGAATTCCCCAATTCCGGGATTGCATAAAACTAGGCTACTCTCACTAGATAGTAAAACGATGCCATAGTGGCCTTGGATACTAAATTGTTTTTCCGAGACTCCGATCTTTTGAACCAAAGAATGAGGAATAATGATGTCCTGGACACTAACAAGAGAGCAGCTATTGCTATGCTCGTGATCAATATTATCATCGTCTTTGCAAAACTCAAGAAATGATAATACGTCTTCAGCCTCCTCCTTCTTAGTGGTGCTGTTACACTTGGGGTCCTCCTCCTCCTCCTTATGCTTCCGCTGCACTACTAATCGCTCCAAAAGGACGTGAAGAGTGGTGAGATTGTTGTTCGCGGAGTTGGAGAGGTGCTTTGACACGAAACCCGGATTGTTGATGAGAGCAAACCACCATTTAGAGACACATTTGAATCGCATCAGAGTTTTGGGAGGCAGAGTTGGTAGGATTTTCACCAACATATCTTGTCCCATTTTCATTTTGATGCTACAACACTACTCGCGCTCCCCCTCTAAGACCATCTTCAACCCTTGGGCTAAAAGCCAAATGTTTTAGCCCGGAAAAGTTGGCTTTTAACCTAGAAACATATTTTCTGCTCCAACCCTTCTGCTCTAAAATTTTAGCCTGTAATTATTAAAGAATGAACTTAGGCTAATTTTTTCTTAAATCAATTTAAAAAAATATATATATATGTAGATTATTGTAAATTAATTTTATGAATATTTTAATCTAAAAAAATTTAAATTCCGATAAACATTTGGCATTTAACCCGGGGGAAAGCTGGGGGGTATTTGGCCCAGAAATAACATTTGGCATTTAGCCTAAAATTTTAACATGGGTTGGAGAGTGTTTGGGAGGGGTAATTTGGCTTTTAGCCCAAGTTTGGAGATGGTCTAACGATAAACAACAAATTATGATAATTTTTTAATTAAGATTTCTAAGAAGAAAAAAAATCATATACAGGAAACTGACTGACATTTTAGATCAAAACCTTGATTAATTTTCGGAAGCAAGGTTCAATTATATAAATGCTGATGTGTGTGTGTGTGTGTATCATCATCATAGAAATTGATCTGGATTAGTACGTAAAGATTTAATTAATTGTTGCAGAAATTACCAGAGATGAAAGAGACCCCCGCAGGAGAAGGAGTCAATGGAGGCCATGCCAGCCGGCGTTCTGTTCTCTGTGACTGTGAGTGGTGCAATGCAACTGGGAGGGATTTGTTTCAAGTTCAACTCTTTAATTTTATGGGTGTTTCTAATGCAAGGTCGCACGCAAAGTTCGCACTTTAGCAAACGCTTTAATTTTATAAAATGATAGACCAAGTGTGAGAGTTGCATTGTTCGAACCCACACCCTCAAATTTGGGCCGACTCAATATAATTCATTATTTGTTTGCGGGCCTTATATGTTATATGCATCTTATCTACCAGTTCTGTTTTCCATTAAGAATTTAAGATTGTCTTATTACACGATTACGCTCACCCTATACCATTAATATCAAGGATATTATTTAAAGTATACTATCATAAGATTAGCCTAGGCCCTAGGATACTATCATAATATTAGCCTAGGTCCTAGGATTTAAATCATTAATATCAGTTGCTTTAATCACAAGTATTATCCTATTATTCACAAGTGTTACAAGTCTGGTTCATAAGATCACAAACTATAATAGCGTATCCATCCAATACTGATGGAACATCGTCTTAGGTTGGATGGATATGACCAAGTGTGAGACTTATGTTATTCGACCTCACAACCTTACAGTTGGGCTGACTCGATATCATTCATTATTTGTTTGTGGGCCTCATGTTATTTGATTTTAGCCCAAGTTCATTTCATTTTGTCACATCATGTCCACTTAGCGAATGTGGATTATGTAGGACTTCATTTTCACCCGAGTCATATTGTGAAGATGTGTTATTTGAAAATGGTAAAATATTTGCATTCTTTGTGGAATAGATATGAATCATGTCCATTTTAGTGTATTGAGATATGCATACATTGCATCTCCATTTCTTATTCTACATTTGGTGGAAGGTATATATGCATCTTATTTGCCAGCTCTGCTTTCTATTAAGAATTTACGATTGTCTTATTACACAATTACACCCGGCCTATACCAGTAATATTAAGAATATTATTTAAAGTATTTTATTATAAGATTAGCCTAGGCCCTAGGATTTAAGTCATTAATATCAATTGCTTTAATCACATGTGTTTGGTTCCCCTCAATAGAAAGTTAGATAAAAAGACCCAAAACCATTGACTAACATTTGCTTTAATCACATGTGTTTGGTTCCCCTCAATAGAAAGTTAGATAAAAAACCAAAACCATAAGCATTTGTTTAATATTTTATTTCTTCAATTTAAACCCATTGACTACATTTTTTCTCAACAAAAAAAAAAAAAAACCATTGACTACATTGCTACCCCCAATTTACTTTTCATATTAGATTGATGAGTAAGATAATTTTTAGGTTCAGTAATTCTTTTTTTTTTTTTTACATCTGTTTTTCCCATTTGTGAGCAACGCATGGAAACCACGCATTATTAATACCATTTTTTTTTTCATATTTTATTTGTCATTATTGTATATATTATTTTGGTTTTGTATTTGGTTTGAATTTTGAATTTTGAGTTTGTTGTTTTTGTTATTGTACCATATATGGGAGGAATCATTTGTATTGAAATTTTGCATGGTGAGAACCTTAACTACATGTATTATAATTATATATTCTTTTTGCTTCTACATGTCTTAGAACTTGTTATGGTGATAACTCATAATCGTGTTTATATCTTTGCTTTAGGTATATAATTGTTTTGGTATCTTTATTGAAGATAGATCGATAGCTATATATATGGGGCGTTCTGATTTAGACCCCTCATTTTTAGGCTTCTTAGATTAAACATCTGTTCATTTTAACAATTTGATTAAATATTCTCCTACAATTTTGGGGCCATGTGTATTTTAATTAACCCATTGTAGTGTATCTAAATTACATAATTTGCCATAGCCTTTAACACATGTGTTTCCCGTATCCAGTTCTCTTCACGCCAAAATGCACGCAAGGTTCCTAGATTCTTGCTAAATGTCTTAGAGTTTTAATCCAATAAGAACACTAATTGTTGAATATAAGAAGGATTTGAATTTAAGGATATTAATAATGTTATTTTTATCTAGTTAATTCTATTTTCCAGCAGCACTTTCTTCCTTCCTATGAACGTACCATAAGTCATACGTACCAATACTATGAGTGATTCTATGAATCAACCTCTAAGTAACGATGAAAGAGCAACTTTATTCTAAATGGCATGGACCTTGATATCCCAATGCAGCGAACCTTACATAGCCTGCAACAAGAATCAGGCTCATAAGTACATATATATGTACACTATCATTGCTGTTGTTGTGTGTGTGTAACTAACATTTATCTATATTGCAGATTAGATTGTGGTGTTGCGTTTATAAACATCATGGGGAGCATGGCTTCTGGCATACCTGTTCTTGAACATTTTGAAGACGATGACATGAAGGAAATGAGAGCTACAATAGTAAGCAGTCTTTTAAACGATGAATTTAATTGGAGCAAACAGTAGGCAAAATGCTACTATATTAGTACTAGTCAAATAAGGCATCATTGCGGTGATTGCCATCTTTTCAAATACGTTATGAGAATGCCCTTTGTTGGACCTTCATAATATTTTGTATTTATTATGGTTTAGTAGAAACGTACTTGCAAGTAAGTTTCTTTGCTCTGTTGAGAATATAAGTTGACTTTGTCCCATATTTTTTATGTTTGTGCATTGGCTCAAATGTACCAAGTAACATTTTTAATTTGGTACATTATTGGACCGCAACTTTGTAATGTACCAAGAGTTTGGTACGTCATTTAATGTTATGCTGACATATATTGATCGTTTGGTACGTAAAGTTTTTAGTTTTGAAACGTATCTGTTTGGAAAAACGTTATACATTGTGTTTGTGATGTACCAGAAGTATGGTACGTTACTTAATGTTACACTGACTTATATTGATTATTTGGTTCATGAAATAATATTAAATTAGATCATTCCAGGCGTTTGGTACGTAAAATTTTTTTATTTTTGAAACATATCGGTCTGGAAAAATATTATACAGTGTGTGTTTGTAATGTACCAGGATTTTGGTACGTTACTTAATGTTATTGTTTGGTTCATGAAATACTATTAAATTAGATCATTCCAGGCGTTTGGTACGTAAAGTTTTTTATGTTTGAAACGTATCGATCTGGAAAAACGTTATACAGTGTATGTTTGTAATGTACCAAGAGTTTGGTACGTTACTTAATGTTACACTAACTTATATTGATCGTTCGGTTCATGAAATAATATTAGATTAAATCATTCCAGATGTTTGGTACGTAAAGTTTTTTATTTTTAAAACATAAGAGGCTGGCGCAGTATTGTGTGTTAATCCAAATGTACCAATGATGTGGTTTGTCTTTTGTCATTAGTTAGACAATTAATGATTAATTGGTATTAAACTATCAACTAATAGGTACGTTAATTAGCGTTATATTGACACATTAATACGATAAGTTTGAACTATTGTAAATTACCGTGTAAATTACTGTGCGATATAGATACTATTGATTATCAAATGGTTCCATGATATATGGGTTTTTGAGATATCGAGAATATTTTGAAAATGAGATGTCTTTCAAAAGTGTATGATGACTGAGCTTTCTTCAATGTAATCACAAGGATTGCCATTGTTGTGCATGATAGTTGCAACTGCGTGTGAGCAAGGGAAACCTTTAATCTGCCACTGACAACATGAACAATACCATTTTTCCAAGTCCACCATCACCGAGTCATCGCTACGTACTTCAAATACAAACTTGCTTGACCGGCTAATGTGCCAATGTCTTCCCACCTCCAATAACTTATCCAACTGGTTTTCCATTTCGGGGCATAAGAGTTCCATTTCTCTGCAGCAATACGTCTCTCAACATTCATCACCATCAATTTAACTCTTATGCTTTCTACCAATTGGAATATTGGTAATAATTGTTCTTTCCTAATCCAAGAATTGAATGACTCGGCAACATTTGACCACATTTCATCGTACTTGCCAAAAAAAAAAAGTCAATCAAAACACTACATAATCCTGACATTATGTTGTTCCATAACCAAGATTTCATACCAACTGAAAACTCCTAAAAAATATATTGTTGAATGAAAGCATAATAAGAGAAGGAATAAAAATGAGGAAAATGAATAGTGGTAGGACGACAAGTCTTAAACCAAATCATGTACACAAGCACCTCTGCAATTAAAACTCAACATAACAATTGTACCTGACACCTAAAAAGAATGCATCTGAATAGTTCTCTTTGGGCAAGTCCTCCAAAAATTTGTCAATTTTCTCAGAATCTGCAGGTTTACATCGAACACTTCTGGAGTGGATGAATAAGCACATTCATCA